CTTGCATTTAGGCGGAAGTTATATTTCGCTAAAACATATAACTCAATCAGATGATCAGTGGTTTCACTGTATGATATATAATCAACTGGGTTTTAAGGCCCAGTTTTGTGAGAAAAACGATCATTTGACTACTTCAATCATTTGATTATTCTCTTAGAATCCATCCCAATTGTTAAGTCATAACATATTGCATTATGTACGCGATATAATAAAATAAAATGTTTAGGTTTATTTATATTAACTAATATTTGTTTCGCCTTTCAGAATTTGTTATTTCTGAGTTCTACTGATGTATTTTGTGTTTTTCTCTGATACTCTATCACTAGGTAACCTTAGTAGATTATTATAGTATAAACTATTTGGTCTGACTATTTTGTGTGATATTGATTACCAAACCTTGCGACATTACCGCTTAGTGTTATTTTTAAACAAAAATTATACAACGACTTGATTATATCTTCAAAAGTGAGGTTAAGTCGAATGTTTTTAAAATATTGTTTTTATTATGTCGTAGAATCTGTGTCGCAAATGATCGTGTGACTTAATTAATACCTAATTGTTATAGTGAAACTAGTGATTTAAGAAATTTTAGAACTTGTTCAAATCAATTAAATATCAAACTGAGTTTCGTATTTAAATGATCTTACCGGACTTTAAGTAATGATAACTTTGTTTTGTTTTCTACCTTGAAGACTGATCGGTTCTGATCACAAGACCACTTACTTTAGCTACTGATTAAATCAAACAATACCTGACACCTTATAAAGTACTGTAGTGAATAATTTTCGACCGATCACTTGACTCATTTGGTAGAATAGATAACCCAGTCATGAAACTAAACCTCTGAATTCCAGCCAAAACAAACCATTAGGAAGTCGACTATATAGCTTTTCAGAAAATATATAGTAAATATTTAAGCAAGATATTTTGCGTTATTGACTAGTGAGGTCACCAATAAAAAATGTGACAAGATCATATGATCACAGAAGAATTACTACATCCACACAATAAGGATGACAATAAGTCACAAACACGGAAAATATGTTTAAACTGCATAACATCGTGGATATTATTCATCACTAACTTTAAAATTTGTTAGAGCATAAGATATTTTGTAATATCAGAAATAAATTACTAATTAAATAATTATTCATTATAGATATGCTACATATTCTTGTGGAGTTAACTATGATAAATTCATCCAGAGAGTTGATCAAACCTTAACGATACAACACAAAAAAGGGTATCAGATTAATTTTCAGTTACATATTTCTATTACGATTCTACCAAAGCACTAACTTATGTTATTATTTTCTCTTTCATTACAAATTATTCCTTTTTAAAGTAACTAAGCTTAAGTTTAAAATATCATTAATAATACAAGGAGGTTGGAGATTATGTAACAGAATAGTATGAACAGATCAATATTATTACTTGAGGTGAAACATTTAAATAATAAATAACAGTAACTGGTTTGTGTGTATAAGTATTGAAGTGAAAGATAAAATTTTCTGTAAGATAGAAAGTCCATATCTATACAACAAAGTCAAGAAATTAATGTCAATGTTAATTTTATCAACAAAAATCAACGACCCTATGTAGCATGTCATTTCGAATTAGCTGCAAAACAAATTCCCTACAACTTTCAAACTAACAGATGAAAATTAATCAAGAAAGAAGGTATTTCCAAGAGCTCTATTTACAGGAAGCAAATTCTGTGTAAATGAAAGCCATGGACGCCACTCGAAATGACAACTCGTCAAATGGAATCGATAAGAAAAATGAACGTAATTCAAAGTCAAAGGCCAATCATGTTCAATCATCAATTATTCAAAAATGAATTTTATATAACTTGAATACAAATGATAACTATGTTGGATTTATAAGCGAAATCTGGAGAATTGAAAGGACTTGTCAGATGTTCAAGTATACATAAATCCGATAGTCCAATAAGTTATTATTGTTCTACTGATTATCCAACAAATTAGTATATCTGAAGCAGCAAATAGCTCTCCAAATGAATAGCTTTACAGGCATTCCACAATGATGCCGAACGTGATAGTCCTAGTAGACAAAACTACTTGAAAGCGTTCAGTCAAGCCTGGAAGAGTCCTCTATAAAGTTAGATTAACAGTTTCTCGTCTATCAATCTCTGTATTCGGTCAAATACTTTGTTAATACCAACTATTACCATCTTCTTTCATGCTTGCCTTATGGAGACCATACTTTAAGCTTATGGATTACATGACCATCTTATTATATTGTATCAACATAATCTTTATCGTCCTCAGAAACTTGTAAATCACAGGGATGCTTTCCAAAATGCATAGTCCCACACTTGTTGAGGTTAAATGGTAATTACCATTTTTCACTCCAGATAGTTAGGTTATTGAGGTCACTTTGGATCTAGGATACACTTTCGCTTACAGCTTCAGGCTTAAAGCTATATATTATTTTGAGATCATCAGCATATAAGTATGGTCTCCCAAATTTTATGTTCTTGTTTATATATATATATATATATATATATATATATATATATATATATATATATATATATATATATAACACTTCCCTGGATAACTCCACTAGTTATTGGTCTAGGTGACGAGAGTCATCGTACTTTACCATTTGTTTACGATCTGTTAAACCATAGTCAAAGCAAATCTAAAATACATAACATTGATAGGGAAGCTCTCGGTGTTTTTTACACTACATGCTCAATTATAAAACTTATTACATATCAATGCATGTTCGATTTCAAACAAAATTTCAAGGTTGAGAACCTTGTCCTATTATTAATGCATTTATACATGTATATCCTCTAAACTACAATGCTAGGATTATTACAGATTTTAATTACCCTCGAATAAACTGAAATACCGATAGTTGTCAGTCATGTAATGATGAAGTCTCGGCAACCATTAACATTCACTTTTAATCACGTTGGGTTCGTATCCTAACAAGGGGTGGTATTATACTTAACCTAGCATCCTGTACAAATATCATCCTACTATCTATCTAAGTATACGATGAATTTGAAAGCAGTGACGATAAAATTGTAGTTGGTGCTCTCTCTATCTGTCCTTCTTAAAACCAACCAAAAGAATCCGTCAATTTAGGAATTATAGACGTGTTAACTGGGACCTCCTGCACTCTCTGGTAATATTCTCAGACTGGGATGCCTTCTCGTGTAATGGTCTTGTGGATGCCACCGCCACATTCTATCTGATCACTGACCCTTGTTTAGATTCCTGTGCATTTCTTAAAACGTACAGAATTAGTAAACCAAACGAATTATTCATACCAGCTAAATATCGTAATAAAATAAGACGCTTTCATAAACATTATTTTACGTCAAACAATTTCACGGCAGTTGTACAAATAACTGTAATTTTTAACCAACTTAAAGAAAAGCACAGGTTGAAAGCCATTAATGAGGAGCTTTTAGCACTTAATAACAGGTCAAAAGTAAAAAAACCTTTACTCACCTTTTCAATAATAAACATGGTAAAGCCGAAGGGAGATATCCCAACGTTTACTACGTTGTCGCTGTGACATCTGTTAAGTGTAAATCACCATATGCACTAATCATTATAAAATGTTCAAAAATAAACACTTGATTTACTACAAGTATGATAGAAAGTAACTTAAGTGGTTGTCAATAAGCATAGGCGTTCTTATAATCTAGACACTGAATCTTATTAGTGTACAGGTTGAAAGACCCATTTTGATACTTTGGCTTATTGCTATTGATTAGAAATGTATAGAACGATCAGCATTTTTATCAGATAATTTTCAAAGTCCTAGTGTAGTAGACGCTATTCACAAGATTGCTTGTAAGTAGTATGTTGCAGGACGTGACCTCTAAGCTGTCGGAACACTTAGAGCCCAGATGAGAAGACTTCGGATTCCAGAGTGCATCAAAGGTTCCAAATGGACGATTGAAGATTGTTGACGTATTATGTAAATGCTTTGTAACTTCTCACAACAAACATACATCCCTTATGCATATTGCCTTCTTTTACAGAACCCCATGTTATTTCCTGATGATCCTGTGTTTTAGTGATACATAGGTTACTGGGGAAAGGATTTCGTCCATTTGTACAACTTGTTCGTTATCGATGTAATAATGTACTTGGTGCCTGATCGTAACCTCACCTACAACCTAATCTGATGAGTAAAAGACCTCACAAAGATCCATCAGCTTTGTATAATGAGGGGGTCAAACTTCAAATCAAAAATCATTTTAACTATTTTCCTCACAATTAGACAAGTTTAAGCGTGAATTTCATAACGACAAACGTTTACAGTCCATTATCAGCTGAAAAGTGGGATGGATTCCACATTTCATCTAGTGTAAGAACAGTGTATGTCTGAGAACCTGGAAATACGTCAACCTTAATCCTGTATGTTGGGTTACATCATATGCTGCTAGGCTATGAAATTGTATTATGACAGTGTAAATTCTAGCTGTAATTCGATGGATTGATAACAGGCGGGATATCATTAGCCACTTATTACTTGTTTATCGTATGCGCTTTATCATATTTTATATTTGATTTGATTAGAGAACAGTAAAATTACCAGAATGAAGACTTCTCTTTTAATTAGAATAAGCACCTTTTTATTAAATGAACATTATCCTTAGAACACTTTCATGGTGAATTAATGTTTCTAATTGATAATAAATATATGTTAGTTAACAACACTGAGTTTTGCATCAAAACTAGTGATGACCATTTTTCAACAAAGAAATTAATAGACCTATGTTCTAGCATGTTTTCTGTTATTATTTTATTTCAAATACTTATATTAAATAAATAGAACTTGTGAGAAAGTAAAAACAGAACAACAGCTAGATTTATATATATATATATATATATATATATATATATATATATATATATATATATATATATATATATATATATATATATTGAATTTCTTAATTCACAGAACATAATGAAATAACCTATTAGATTAATTCACCGAATAAGCAGAATCAGAATATTGAAAATTTCGAAATAATAAGTATGAATTAGACAGTTTATACGAATCTATCCATAAAGATAATACAAGCCAATTTGCTGTTTTTAAAATTATCTTGTTTTATTCCTGTGTAGGATGAATTGTAAATATCAAGCAAATAAAAAATCTTTAAATCGTGTTTCACTTAAAATTTAACAAAATAACTGATTGTTGGATGGGTCAGTAGATTAACAAAAGCAACAACAATGGTAGTAGTGACCTTAAAAAATGATTGTCAAGAATCTTTTCACATTTTAACAAACAATTTTAAGATATTTAAAAAAAACAGTGGGAAAAGGGTTTGAAAACAGAAATTCACAAGGGGCTGTAATATCCAACTTGACGATTACATGATGGACAAAAATGTCGAGCACTTTTTGTGGAATCCAGACAGAATGGAATCAAGCAGCAACCAAAGAAAAACCTGCAATGAAAATAAACGTTAAAAATCAATATTTCGTAATGGCTGCAAGCTTTTTATTGACAAGTACACGGACTAGATCGACATATATTTGCTGACAACATACTTCCCCGAAAGCACATGGGGTCAGCATACCAATTCCGTAGAAAACAACCTTGCTACAAAAAAATCCTACCATAACAAACAAATTAAACCACTTAAACGCTGCCCTCCAAGTTCAAGAAAGAATTTTGACGTCTCGAGGTGAAAGCTGAAATTCTTTCGAAGTCATGACGTATATGCCCAGTCTAACAACCAGAGCAACAATTAATATAGGTACATGGAACGTTCGGACAATGTGGGATACTGAGAGGATTAAACAAATAGCAACGTAGATGAGGAGATACAACCTGGTGGTGCACGGAACACGTGAAACGCATTGGACCGAAGCTGGACAGAAAAGGTTAGATATGGAAGAGATGCTGCTGTACACTGGGCACGCAAAAGAAAATGCTCCTTACACACAAGGAGTTGCACTGAAGCTATCCAAAGAAGCACGAAAATCACTTATAAGATTGGAATCTCATGGACCCAGAATCATTAAAGCATCCTTCAAAACAAGGAGGGAGGGGATTACAATGAATGTTATGCACCCACCAATGGTAGTAATGAAGACGATAAAGATCAGTTTTACTAGAGGCTGCAGTCAGTTGTAGAGAAGTGCACCACAAGGATCGATGTTGAACCACTTCACCTTAGGTCTGTTCTACAAGATCCAAGTCAACAGTTGGAAACTACATAAACTTATCCTGTTTTTGGTCGGACCACCACTAGTTTTAACCTTCACTTATACTGTCCAGCATAGTGCGTCAGTGTAGCCAATGACTGAAGAGGCGCAATTACCCCGGTTAATGAATCATGATAGTATGATTGACGGACTTGACATTTCTAACTAGTGCTCAAGGTCTAAACCACAGCATTTTTAGCTCAATGGTTCCGTCATACACGAATAATACCTTGAAGATGCATATGATTGGATGCAAACTATCACATGATACAATTGTCAAGAATTTGGATTCCATGTCATTAGGAATTTTCCCATACTCAGCCAGATTAGGCTGAAGATGGCGGAATGTGATCCTCACTTCTGTTTTAGATTTTTGAAGAAAACCACAATCCTCACAAGTTTGCTTTTAAGGTTAAATATCCAGTTTTATCTTCGCATTTTTATGTAAAAAGATAGTAAGTTTCCAGTAGTCAAAGAACATTTGAGCTGGGAGTTTTACAATGTTGGTATTGATGGAGTATTCGACAACCTATTTGATTATTCAGATATCACGTGCTTCTGAAGTCAATAAGATGGCTATAAAATGGTTACAAGATTCAATAAATACAGTGAAAAAAAAGGTTGATATAAGTAAAAATTTCACTTGTCTGTCTGATTTTATCCGAATAAAATAGGTTATATGAACCCACCCGAAGAAGCAGAGGATTCCACATAACAACCACGGCAAGCATCCGGATTCTAACCTAACCCTTGTAACACCAGAGTTATGGCAAAAGGGACAGGTAATACCAACAGGATATCGGTGGTATACAGTTGTGGTCACCGTCGGTTGATGAACAATCACTGTGGCTAAGGTAGATAAGATAACAATTAGTTTATTGTAGTATGAAAAAAACAATACAGAATCACTGGTAGCACTCATTTATGTTACCTTAATTTTCAAAGTAAATTCCATGCAAAATATAAGACATAACTTGAATATTAATCATAATCAACTGAACTGCATTTTTTTAATTTTCTGTCTACTTTGGTATGCTTTTCGTGGATGGCATTCTGTGTCAGCTATAAATATACAGTTGATTCACCTCTCTGGTAAGTGATTTACTTGCACTCCTTGGATAAAACATTATAGAATACACTTTGTGTGCCTTAAGACAGCATTAAAAAGATAAAAGAAACCCTATCAATTTGCGAAAAACTAAGTGTATTAGCATTTCTGTGACAAATTTTAAGCCACGTTATATATGATTTTTAACCATTAATTCAACCATTGTCAGAAGCATTGTTGGGGAGTTTTACAGATCTTCGATGCTGATCACATTAGTGGGTAAATGCGAAACAAAGAATGTGTCATATTTTCACCAGGACATTTAAAGACTTATTTTGTTTTACTTCAATTTCAACCGTGATATTTTACATAATGTTAGTTCACAATCTTATCAATTAATTTACCACTGACACCACATAAGACTTATCAAATATGGTTTCAACGGTTTGAGTGTATTGATTCGGATGACATTTTGCACTATGCGACGTTTTGTGCAACATCGCAGTTTAGTTTAAATGTTTCAGGAAAACACAGTGCTTGGAACCTTAAAATACATCTGAAGTATAACAATAAAAACTGAGTGATTGAATTGCCACTTCCATTTAAAACAAAAATTTTTAGGAAATAAAGACTGGAAGATTACTTTTTTACCCGGAATTTCAACGAATACAGTTGTTTAAAAAGAATTACAAATGAAATGAAGAAAAGCTAGACACTCCGTAAATATATGTGTACGGTAATCAGTCTTTCTATTCTTAAAAAAGTTTTAACTTCAGGATGACTTGCACTAGTGATATGAAAAGCAGTGGGGAGTATTTTTGTTTTGATTGCGGTAATTGCAGTAGATAATTGTACTCATGATAAAACGAATGAACATGTGCAGGGAACTTAGATACAGATGATTGGTTAATAATAAATAATAAACCTAAAGACTAGATCGAAATTATCTGTACAATGACAGTTTGTGGAGGTAAAATAAGTCAAGGAAATATGAAGAAGATTTGTAGCAAATAGTAGCCACATGGTATCCAGACCATAGGAATCAATACGAAAACACTAGTGAAAAGTCAGTGAGTCAGTAACAACGTAGTGTAAAGTGGAAAATAGTAGAGTATGACAAGTGAATTTTGTGTCTTTAAGGATTATTAGTCATACTAAGATGTTTGTTGGGTATAAAGGTTGGAATTAATTCTACTTTAACGCTCTCCATTCTAGAAGGAGCAGAGATAAATGATAAATGACAACAAAGGAGCAATATTGGATATCGGTTTTTTAAATCTTGATATCCATAATCATGATGCTCACCTGGAGCATAGTACAAATAAAACTAATAAAAATAGGTTTAGTTACCGATAAATTTTACGTACTATTATTGTCTCTTAAATTTTCGAAAATAATATCACTTAGGATCATTTTGTTGTCAGATATCTTGAGAGATACTGTTGTGTTAGTAAATTATGTGAAAACAAAACCATAACGTTGGACAAAGGTATAATTTGAGGAAGGAAACTGATCATCTCAATACATGAATCTACTCTCTGATTGTTGAATGATAGAATTTACTTTTCCCCATCGCCAAAGCTGGGATGCAGTAATACAAATAATTTATTCTCAATTACATACGATCATTATAAATAGTAGCTCAGTATGTGGATTTATTTGTGGTTAAGAAATTTTTAATTCATGCTGTATTCGCAATCAGTTGAAGGGATACTGTCGAAAAATAATGATGTTCATTACTAATAAATAGCTTCGAGGTTACGGAAATCGGCATGTGGTTTCTTATGGAAGAATCAACTTCAAAACTTAAGTGACCCATGAAATAATAAACTTGATAAAACTGGACAGTTAACTGGTAATAACTCAGTAGTAGATAGATCGAAAGTATTTACATAATCCATATCTAACTGAAATTCAGTCATTTGAAGTAAAATAAGTTCTATATGCAAACCTATCCTGCATTTTTACTTTGCATCAATTATCCACAAATGCGTGTAAAGTACGATCAAACTGAAAGCAGCTGCTAAAACGAATCATTAATCATTTATCAGTTTAACATGTAACAGTTTCTGCACAGAACTAGATGCTTCCGACTATTAAAAAAGAATTGCCCTTTTCACTTTGAAATTCTCAGTTTATAAAATATTATATAACTAACGATAATTATGCTTGGGTTCATGACTAAGTTTCATATCAATATTTGTTAGAAAAAATCGGATACATTCTTTTTTATCCGATTTTTCCCATCCATTTATACTTTGAAAATATGAAAATTAATCTATTCAAAAGAGAAAAAATATTTGAAAACATCAAACATTTCCTTTAGAATTTTCGTTTATTATATTCAATACTCTACAGAAAGTGAAATAAAACGTACAAATGAGAAAAATTTATACTCTACAGGGAAATAGTTAAAAGAAAATTCCTTTCCTGTTAAAAATAAACATTTTTCTAGTAAATGTTTCAATGAATATAGCCATGTTAAATGGTGAAAATCAAAGGATACACTGGTATACAAATAGTGAAATACATAAAGAAATTTTGTAAAAACATTCTTGTTTGAAACAACATATAATATAAACCAATTGTATAAATCGCTTTCCAAATACTTACTTACTCCTAATACCCTTCGTCAAAAGAAATAAGCAGTCCACCGGCATTCTCCATCGAACTCTGTCCTAAACAATCTTTTCCAGTTGCTATCCACGCTTTTGATTTCTGCTTACAATTTTCGACACATGGTTAGCGCTTGCTTCGTTATGCAGTTCGATGATTTCTGCAATGTATGTCCTATCCACCTCCGTCGTTTCCTAATTTCCTCTACAGCTGGAAGTTGGGTTGTTCTCTCCCACAGTAGGTTTTTGCTGATGGCACCCGTTCAACGGACATTGAGTGTCCTGCGTTTCTCCATCAAATGTGACTGGGTTGGTGTTCTCCGTGTTATAGTTGGGGATGTTGCTTTTTCCCTTGTGTATGTTGAGGCTTATTGATGCAGAGGCTTCTGCTACACTGGCTGTCGTGACCTGCATTTGTTGGTGTGGATGGGATAGAAGGGCTAAGTCATCTGCAAAGTCCAAATCGTCTGGCTACATCGACTCCCCACTGTGTTCCGTGCCTTCCTGAAATTTGAAGGTCTTCAGAATCCAATTAATTATCGTATGAAAGAGAAAGGGTGAAATTAGGCAACCTTACCTATGTGTAATTTTAGTGCTTCAGGTGGTATACTACCAGGTCCTGCTGCTTTCCCATTCCTGATCTGTCTGATGACCACCCTGATTTCTTCCATCGTTGGCGAAGTAACGGTCATAGGAAGGTCTGTGTCGCTTTTTCGATGTCTGGTGAATTAAATGGAGTTCCTCAAAGTGTTCTATCCATCTGTTCCTTTGTTCTTGAATCTCAGTGATTGGCTTGTGTTCTTTATTCTTCACCGGTCTCTCTGGTTTATCGTATTTCCTTACTAGTTTTTCTTTTCGTTGAGTCATATAGTCGTCTCATAGTTCCCTCTGCTGCAGTTTTTCCGGCTGTCGTTGCTAGGTCACGATTTTCAGAGGTAATAGATGAACTACTTTTAGACTCTAGGTACCCGTGACAGACACCCTATTGTCACTAAAACGCAAGACAGTTGGTAACAGGAATTCGTCCTTGGTGTGTGTGATCTTACCACATCTCAGACGACATGGTTTGTAAGTTAGGACCTTACTGAAAAAATAATCCAGCCCCGTTGGGTCATCATTATTCTCAGGACCAACTGCCGCATTAAGAAAATAAATGCGATTATAGATGTGACTGTCTGTTCAATAGTTCTTTATTTAAAACACGTTGCTAAACAGGAGATTCATAACATCCACCAATCTATGAAACTAACAATAATGTCTGGGTATTCCAACACCGTAACAACAAATAGACAAATTAATAAATAATAATGCTTGCCTGGTGGTGCAGGTTGGTAGCCAGATCCCATAAATACATTACTGGTTGGTTGGTTAATTTGTGGGTACAAGGGATAAGGACATGGATCCTGAGTTGGATAAGGCGCAGTTGGAGGAGAGTAAGGAGGAGGAGCTGAAAAATGAAAAAAATATATATAGCTGACTATCACCAGAAACGAGCGTCCGCATCTTTCGTTTTTATTTACTGCCTAGAAAACTAATGCTTTCTAAGTGAAACATGCTTTAGATACTTTGTCTTTACAACTGACTGATATAGGCAATCCTTTTTAGATGTAATTCTTAATTACTCCAGCAAAACTGAACGAAATTTCGTAAATGGATGTCTATCAAGAATTTCGAGTCATGTCTTTCTCTTACAATTAAATACGCTGTCAACGATATTTTCGGCATGTTAACAAAAAATGGAGTTGATGTAGACGATAACAATACGGATAAGGATGTGATCTATGCTAATCTAGTAGCCAGTAAAAACCAATCAGACCAACTTCTTTTGACATACCCCAAATGCAAGCGAAAGATGAGGAACATGAGCTTTGATAAAACTCACCAAACTTGCACCAAGAGGGCGAAGACGAAGTTTAAACAGTTAATGAGTCACATAAAGTAGGAGGGCATGGTAAATTCCCCTATCTAATTAATTAGAAAAGAATTTCCGATATTTTTAGTTTCGGTCAAACGACTCCAGACTGATCATTCTCCATTGTACTTTGACAATCATATGTTACATTATAGCACCCACCTGTAACTTAAAGCTAGTTTGAAAAGGTTGAGGTGAATCAGTAGCTACGCCACTCGTCTGTCGAACATCTATATGCTCGAGCTTACTGACTTTACTCCGGTTCGTTGGGCTACTTAGCATTAATGACACCAACGAAAACTAAAACTCAAAGCTAGGTACATAAACATGCAACCGGCTATGATTGATGTCAGACATAGGGACGATTTATGTGAAATCAGTAGGGCTTTTACATTACCTTACCAATTACGTCTAAACTACGTGTCTTAGAAAGTGACCGATAAGATTTCCTATCAAGAAATGACTGTCCTTTTAGCAATTAACCCAAATGTAAAGATAATAAACATAGCAGACACATGTCAGTCACAGCAAATATTAATTGTTTGTTGACGGAATTCCCTCATTTTTAGATGAGTTTTCATAAAAATTCAAGCTGGTCAACACCAATATTTTCAGGGACATTTCCTGATATATTGTTTGTATTCCGTAAGCCAAACATTAGTTTATTCGTAGTACTTTAGAGGACATATATTTATAATATTATCGATACGTGGATTATAATTAACCCAATGTAGTCGACTTGACTGATAAGTAAGAAAATACTGAGACTACGACGTAGCTTGGTAAAATAGGGGCTCATTCAAAGATACAAAGAAAAATGCAGGGGATTTACAACTACAAAGTAACTCACGCTTATCCATAACAATCTGAGCCAATGTGAATTATGTCGCCAACATTATTTCAAGATTCAAGATTCAAGATTCGGTGCCGCAGTAGTCTTCAGTCTTCAGTAATAAGGATAGTAGGTTGGTGAACCTGTATTAATCCTGACACATTGCTTTCCAGTGAAGGTCCAGCTTCTCCTTGAAAATATTCACTGATGGGACTGATACCACTTGTTCGGGTAAGGCGTTCCAATCGTTGACTACTCGATGAGAAAAACGGGACCCCATTCTAAGCTTATTAAATCGCGGTTTATCAACCTTCTTGCTATGACCTCGGAGATTATTAGTGCTGAAGGGGGCAAAAAGATAAGACATATTAACACCCAAATCATAATTAAAGATACGAAATGCCAGTATAATGTCACCTCGCGTCCTACGATACGACAAGGCGAAAAGGTTTAGGCGTTTTAAACGCTCATCGTAAGGGAGTTTAGAAATACCCTTCACTAATTTCGTTCCCACGCCTTGGACACGCTAAAGTGAGTTGGTATACTTTACCAGACATGGGATAGCTGCTTGGATTCAGTACTCTAAGTGTGGTCTTACATAGGTGGGATATAAAATTCGAAACATTTCCTCGTCAAAGCATTTGAATGCTCGGTGAAGTGACCATAACGCACGAAAACCTTTGACAACGGCTGCGCTGCAATGCGCAGTTGTTTTTAAGTCATGACTTATTATTACTTCTAAGTCTTTATGCTATTGAACGCATGGAAGAGGTTTACCATCAAAAGTATAATGGTAACTTACCGTGACCGATGTGCATTAGCACACACTTCCTAGCACTGATTTCTAAGCCCCACTCCCGAGCACATCTAACTAAATCGTCTAAGTCAGCTTGAAGATCCAGATGATCAGCCTCACTTTTTGTTGTTCTCCAGATTTTTACGTCATCCGCAAACAATAATGTCGACGACCTAAGTAACAGCGGTAATTCATTAACGTAGAGAAGGAAGAGCGGAGGGCCAAAGATAGTACCTTGGGGTACCCCACTTTTGACCGGCTTCCGATCGGATAGCGTCCAGTTGACTCTTACTCTCTGTCTGCGGTCATACAAGAAGTTGCCTATCCACTCCTGTACAGTACCTATTATTCCGAAGCTCGTAAGCTTCTGCATAAGACCTAAATGTTAAACCTTGTCAAATGCTTTGCTAAAATCTATGAATATCACACCGACGGACAGGCCTTTATCTAAGGCTGCTGTCCCATCCTCTCTCGTAATAAGTAAGTTAGTCAAGCATGAGCGCTTGTTACAAACTCCATGTTGCTCAGGAGCTAACAGATTGTGTGAAACTATGTGGCTTAGCAACCTAACCCGAATTATCTTTTCAAGCAACTTAACGACCATGCTAGTTAGACTGACAGGCTGGTAGTTAGATACGATCTGTATCTGACCATCCTTAAATATAAGACTGACTATAGCGTCTTACCTATCTCTAGGGAGTTGAGCGAGTGAGAGGGACATGTTGAAGAGTGTCGCAGGCGGTTTTGAAATAATGTCCGCAAGAGATGATAGCAGCCGTGGATGTAAACCGTCAGGGCCCGGTATCTTACAAGGTTTGAGGTTAGTTATCAATGGAAGAACAGTTTCCTCTGTCACCTACACAGATTCAATGGCTGGTATCTCGGTGTGAGTGGGACAAGTATTTGCTACAATAAACGCAGAGTAGACCTCGCTAAAATAGGTTGGAAAAGCCTCAGCTTTTGCCCGATCTGATCCAGCTAGTAAATCTGAATTTCCGTGTAACAGTAACGAGGGGATACCATCATTACGTTTCATTCGCCGTTTAACATACGAAAACAATCGGTTCGGACAAGTACGGCTATCATATACCAACTGTCGTTCGTAAGTAGTACGGGATTTAGCTACGCTTTTCTTACAAATATTTCAGAATTTTTGGTACTCACACTTAAATTACGCGTGACCTGTCAACAAGAATAAGTCTCAGAAGTGTTCCCCACGCTTTAACTGCTTCCCGGTATCCTTATTAATCCATGGAGGGCAATGCGATAGCTTACATGCTGACCATGGGATAAACGGCGACGTTACGGACTCGAACGTAGCCTTAAACTTGTTCCATTCGTCTTCGATCGATCCATCCGCGTCGACCAACCAATCAGTCGAGATAGCACAATTTCTGATTGCCGGAATATTATATATATAATATATTGCACAACTAAGTATTAAGTTATATGTATTTTAATCTTTTATAACAACACAAAGCATTTCCGTTTTTACCTGTTTCAAATAGACTTCTCAGTAGTGTCGTGTCGCAGCTGTAACCCAATCAGGACCAACTGTGATTTGTAGGACTATTTCGATTCACATAACACATTTTGCGGTTCTGTGGGTAGATTTTGGGAGTAACCTATCGAAACGCGTAAACATAATATATTTTGGCATTCTATAATCTATCTGAAGAAACAAGTTATTATACACTAGACTTTTTGGTGTTCATTTTAAGGTCCTGAAGACGGACTATCACAGTTGGATGTTAGGTTGGACATTTGGCTGAAAAATCTACATCAGTTAACGTCACGTAGGTCTCGGAATGGACTCAAATTTTTTTTGAGTGAGTAGACACAAGGAACCGTGATCGTATCCTGAGGTAAATATTTCAGGTGTTGCTTATTCTTTGGAACATTAGGTTATGTGTATTTTCGGGATGCACCGGCAAATGCTCTGTCGTTAAGGTCAAAAGAACTAAAGATGCGTCAAAATTAAGGTAATTTTGAAGTGATTCGAAGTCCATGTTTGAGTCATTTTTAGTTTTTTGGTATGATGAGGACTGGTTTAGTTTACTTATTCTCTTCACATGACAACATTAGAACTTCTGGAACCTAACATGCTAGGGTCTTTTAGATGATTAACGGCAACTATGTATCTGCTTTTATATTGTTTGTTTGTAGCCTGTAATGGAGTCTCAGTCCAATTATCTCCATGTCCCCAATCTCTACTCTTTGGGAGCCTCTGGGTATTAGCCTTTTAGATTTGACCAATTATGACCCGGATGATCATGTGTGATATTTCATCATGCGTTTATTTTCGTGCTTATCTACATGATTAAATAGGAACTTTTATTAGTGTAAACTCTCATATCTGAAACTGTTTGCATGTTTGCGAGATCGCCATATTTCATTATGCCTGTGGGCTATTTAAATTAGTACAACCAATTATGATGAGTAAATTAACACACGTGAAACAATGTAACACGCGTTTATTTATCGTTCCGAACATTATGTTTGGTTAGTTGGTAAAATTTGGTCAAAATATATTCATCACAAACATCTCATATTTCATATACTGTTTCTGCATTGGTTTCAACCATTGTAGTACTGGTGTTTTATTAATTTAGTAACCCAAATTTATACGAAGTAATTGAGCATGAGAGATGGATCTAGTTGTAAAAATGATAAGGGAGAGCAAACTACGGAAGACTCGGTAGCATTTGCCGTTTCCTTCCTGTTGCCTTGGTAATTATTCTGCTTCATAACGTGCGCGAATGAACTTATCTGCAGTTGCTAGATCGTTCCACTGGCTCAAGTAGTTATTTTCTGTACTGAAATATATGTTTGCTTTTCTTTTATTCTGCTGTTGACATATCACAACTCCAGTGACTGCGGAAAACGACAAACATCATTCGTTTACATTAGAAATGGAGTGAGCCTTAAGATCATTTCTTGTTCATCATTGACGGATTGTTATCAAAGATTATAATAATATCTATTTCTGGTAGAGCAGGTACATGCATTATTCACGGGAGCTATCAATAATATACAACGCTGGTTTACAGGTACACTGACATAAGGTATCCCCTATTTGCACATGATTCAGAAGCCAATCAATAGCTTTTGGTCGGTTAAGGAGACATTTAATCATGGCTTGCTTTTATACATCATATGGCCTTTCGTGATTCGATTTAGGCTAAACTTTTCGTATAACATCTGCAGCTTCGCTCAAAAAGAGTGTGCTTGCGCAACCGAATTTGTCTCGTTGCAAGTTAATACGGTTAGCCTGAAAATAGTTTACAAGTCTAATCCAAGCTGTGAGACATTAACATTAAAATACAGATTAGAAGGTTTTAGAAACATCACAAACGATGATCGGGGAAGACTTGACCAAGCATTTTCTGAGGAAATCTTTTTAAAGAATAAGCAGTACACGAATGAAACGATTTTTGTCATAAATGATACAGTGTGTAGTGGCATTGGTGTGTAACTATACGACTCTTGAAGCCCAGTATATAATCACTGGAAAAATTTATATTTACCAACTAACACAAGGAGAAGGTAGTAATAATAATAATTATAACTTATTCTCAAATAACAGTTTGTTACATGAGGCATGGAGGACGATAGAAGACGTGAGAAGCAAGAGAGGAGCTAATATATCATCAGACCATCAAATGCTGATCGTCAAGATGAAATTGAAACTCAAGAAGCACTGCACAACGGGGTGGACAACATCACAGAAGTTCAATACGGCCTTTCTTCAGGATACTGACAAACTCAACAAATTCAAGATAGTCCTCAGCAATAAGTTCCAGGCCTTTCATGATCTACTCAATGGAGAAGGAACTACCATGGAGAGCAACTGGAAGGGGATCGAAGAAGCAATCACTTCAACATGTCATGAGGTCCTGCGCCACAATAAGCACCATCACAAGGAATGGATCACTGTTGATACACTGGATAAGTTCAAGAAAGGAGGAACAAGAAAGCAGCAATCAATACCAGTCGAACAAGAGCAGAAAAGGTCAAGGCACAAGCTGAATACACAGAAGTAAACAAACAAGTGAAGAGGAGCATCAGAACCGACAAACGTAAATATGTGGAAGATTTAGCAACGACGGCGGAAAAGGCTGCAAGAGAAGGAAACATGAGAGAACTGTATGACATAACAAAGAAACTCTCTGGAAATCGCCGCAAACCAGAACGACCAGTGGAAAACAAGGAAGGTGTGGTAATCACCAACACTGAAGAGCAACAAAACAGGTGGGTAGAACACTTCAAAGAAC